CCGCCCCGCCCCGGGGCTTCATAGTAGATTCTTGATAGATAGCGGTTAAAGAAAGCTCAGCACAAGAATGGAGTTTGCTTTATTTTTAAAGTGATTTCAATGAAGAAAGGTATGCGGTGCCTGCTTCTCCAGCCCACACAGCGACCCCAGGCTCTCCTCATGGGGCTGGGCAGTTTCCTGTGGGGGTCTCTGGAAAAAGTGTAGGCACCATGCCAGAAGGGCCCGTTTGCCGGTCTCTTCACCCCAGGCCTGCTCCTTGGGGCCCTGCCAGGGTGCCTGCAGTATGATGGCCATCACGGGGCCCTGCATCCACTCTCCTGGGATGCCGGCACTTTAAGGATGGAGTCCTCCGATGTGGCCGAGGCCTCTGGCAAATGTCCCTCCAGCCTTGCCGATCTGTGCTCCTCAACCTGAGATGGTAGTGGTGTAGGATGTCGGCCTGTGGCCCAGGTTGGAGCTCATGGGTGTTATGGGCCCTGAGGTTGATAGTGAACTAGGTTCAGGGGCTTCCTGGGGGCTGAGGCTGTGGACCTGGTACAGGTGAGGCCAAGGTAGACAGGTGGGGACAGGCGAGGGTGGTCTTCCCCACAGCTGGGAGGCTCAGGAAGTCAGGAAGGGAGAGGTGGATCCCAAGCAGGATTCTAGGGAGAGCAGGAAGAAGTCTGGCTGCCTGGGGCGCCAGCGCAGTGGTGGGATGGTGGGAGGGAGCCAAGAGGCCCTGAGAGATAAGCTCCCCCCCCCACCCCCCCCCACCCCCCGGCAAAGCTAGAGAGGCTGGGGAGAGGAAGGGCGGCAGGAACTAAAACCGCAGGATCCAGGACCAGACAGCTATCGTCAATTCTTAATTACTGCCACCACTGGCACCAAAAGGCCCACACAGGCTTGTCTGTAAATAAACAGCATCTCCTTGACTTTAGGCTACAACCCAGCGCACGTATATTTACAGTGCTCCTGTGATCTATACCAGGCTCGCACTGCTCACTCCCCCACGTGATAACTCTTGGGCCTTCTTTACATTTGGTTTGGGCTAATGTTTACAACCACCTGTGAGGAGGGCAGGGGAGGAGGTACAATCCCCATTTTACAGGGGAGAAAATTGAGTGGTTTTGCGACTCTTCCAAAGCCACGCAGCCAGGAGGAGGCAGGATTTGGACAGAAACCTGGAGCTTTCTTTCCAGGGCAGGGCTCATCTTGTGAGGGGCATTGAGATTTCCACTCTGGAAGGATATGGAATGGCAGCTGCCGGGTGGTCCCTGTGGGCATGTAAGGACAATGCAAGCAATGCAGGCAGGGCTGGAGCTGATGGGTGGGAGGAGCCCAGAAGGGCTATGGGATGGGAGGGCAGGGGTGCCGAGGCCAGTGGGTGGGATTTCAGGCCAAGGAAGGCTGAGCTAAAGGGAACAAGAAGCAAAGGCTCTGTCTTAGTCATCTAGTGCTGCTATAACAGAAATACCACAAGTGGATGGCTTTAACAAAGAGAAGGTTATTTCTTCACAGTAAAGTAGCTAAAAGTCCAAATTCAGGGCGTCAGCTCCAGGGGAAGGCTTTCTGTCTCTGTTGGCCTTCTCATCAATCTTCCCCCAGACTAGGAGCTTCTCCACGCAGGGACCCCAGGTCCAAAGGATTCACTCTGCTCCTAGCACTGCTTTCTTGGTGGTATGAGGTCCCCCGCCTCTGCTGGCTTCCCTTTCCTTTTTATCTCTTGAGAGATAAAAGGTGGTGCAGACCACATCCCAGGGAAACTCCCTTTACATTGGATCAGGGATGTGACCTGGGTAAGGGTGTTACAATCCCACCCTGATCCTCTTTAACATAAAATTACAATCACAAAATGGAGAACAACCACACACACAATAGTGGGAATCATGGCCCAGCCGAGATGATACACACATTTTTGGGGGGACATAAGTCAATCCATGACAGGCTCCTTTGGAGGGATTGGAAGGGCGGGGGAGGCCCCTGCTAGGCTGAAGGGCACATTTGACTGCTCATTTTTAGGGTGTCAGGTTGGGGGGATGGCATCGATCACATGGACTCAGGGCCTGTGCAGGTAGGAACCAAGAGAAAGAGACATCAGCCAGAATAATTCCCCCAAAAGGAAGGGACTTCCCAAGGTCACCTAGCAAGCCAGAGCTGGGAGAACCTGGGACTCCAGCTCCCAGGCCATGTTCTGCCCTCTACCTTGCTGCACTGGGCTGGACCCAGCACACTGGCTGATCCCCAGTGCTGGGGCCTGATGGAGGGTAAGGGTGGCTATTCTGGGTGGTTCCGGGTTGACTGAGGGTGGCTGGCCCTGGCCAGTCAGGGTCTGACCTGTGCCTGTCCTCCCCAGGGGCGCCCACCCGTGACGTCCTGCTGGTCTCTGCCATCATCACCATCAGCCTTAGCGTCACTGTCGTCCTCTGCGGCCTCTGCCACTGGTGTCAGCGCAAACTGGTGAGGCTCCCTTGGGCCCCTGGGGGGCGGGGCATGGCCCTGCACCCCGCCACCTAGCGCACACACAGGTGACCCACCTGCCCACAAAGTCAGGCACATTTGCGTAGAGATTCACACCACCCGTACACGCGCTTTGTTTGCCTGAGGGTTGGCCCCCTACGTCCACGTGTCCACCTGGAGCCACTCACCTTGGGACATATTCGTGGACAGACACAAGTCTCAAAGGCGTTCGAACACGCGCAACTACACACCTGCCCCACCTCGAGCATAAAGACCTGCAGGCACACACGCACAGACTTGAGAATCGAGCCCCCAACCTGGACGCCCGCGCTTCCTCCCCGCCCCTCCCGGCCGCGGGAGACTGGGCGTGGCCGAGCCGCGTCTCCGGCCAATGAGGAGGCACCGCTGCCCGCCCCGCCCCCGCCGCCTGCACATCCATCCCTGGTCTCGGGGTTTGTACAAGCACAAACGGCTTCTTTTCATTTTTAACGAGGGCTGGGGAATTAACGAGCAGGATTAGGCCATCAATAAGTAACGAGACCGTCAGGAGAGGCATTAATCACCCGAGGGCGGCCAGGAGCGGGAGCGGGGCTGAGCTCCCCGAGGGCGCCGCGAGCCCCGCCTCCCGCCCTCATCCCCCAGCCCAGAAGTGCCCTGGGAACTTCGGAGACTTGGGGGGAGGCGTCCCGGGCGGTGAGGCCCAAACCTTACTCCTCCAGGCTAGGTGGAGACGGCCCCTGGCAGGTCCTCTCCACTCCCCGGGTTGAGAATGGTGGGAGGGGACAAGGTGCCATCTGCCCTATCACAGAGGGGCCCTAAGGACCAGGGAGGAGGGCTGTGGCCGTGGCTTCATGCCCCCACTCCTAAGGAAGAATAGAAGGGGCAGATGCACCTAGCAGAGGGCATTGGGGTCTTGCTAGTGGCGCTATGGGATGGACCCAAAAGGACCATATCTTGCGTGCCTCCTTCAGGAAAGGCAAACTGAGGAATCGGCAGCGGGACTCTGCGTCCTGGTATCCGGCTTCAGGCAGCTCCTGCCTCTGGGGAGGGGCCTCGGAGAAGGCCAGCTCTGTCCACGTGTGAGCGTGTGCTCGTGTGTGGGTGACCGCTTCCCCGCAGGTGTGGAGCGGGGCTGGCCGCCCTGCATTGTTCCCGGATCCCCTGCGTCTGCGTCTGTCTCAGAATTTCAGGGGAGGTGGTGGACGGGGCTTGGCCACGTGCCTTTGTGTGTGAACGTCCTCAGAGGCTGTGGGCGTGGCTGAGAGCGCACTGCGGCCCGTGCAGCTTGTTGCAGGCCGGTTGAGGCTGGCTGGCTGTGTGTATTTGAGGGCAGGGGGAGAAGATTGTCTGAGCAGGCACTGCTGGTAGCCTTTGTGTGTGTGAGTGTGTGAAGGAGGTCTTTGTGCTGAGTGTGTCGACTTTGAGGGTATTGGTGCAGTGTGTGTGTGTTCACCCTGCTGGTGAGGATGTGGATCATCAAATCAGATCCCCTCGTGAGCTGATGCAGAGGTTGGTCCTGTCCTGGCCTCCCCTGTGTGTGTGCTGCAGTGTGTGTGCCCCACCCTCTGTGTGTGTGTGTGTGTGTGTGTGTGTGTGTGTGATGAGAGATGCCTTCCAGGACCAGGGCACAGCAGAAGAGAGACTGGAGGCAGTCTGCCCCCTTGCCCCCCAACTCATCTCCACTCAGGACCAGGGCCTGGAGACAGGAGCTCGAAGATGACAGCTCTATAGCAGGTGGGGGCTGTGTCAGTGCAGGAAGTACCCTGGGCAGCTGACAGGGGCAGAACCAGCCCCCACCCCTCCAGCCACCGTCCTTTCCAGAGGCCTCTAGATTTGTTCCCCTGGGCTGCTGAAGGAACGTTACTTTGCCCAGCCCCCACCCTCTGTCACCCCTACCCTCATGGGTCTCAAGCTGGGAGCTTTATATCCAGGCTGTCTCCTTGTTCTGTGGGAGGGCTTTAAAATGCCCCTGCAAGTCGCTGGGCTCTCCTTGCCTGCCTGTCCCCCCAGCAGCAGTGACGTGATACCCTGACAGACCAGATCCCATTTCCAAACATTAATAACTTCCTTAATCTCCAGCTGGCTTTTTCCGGATCAGCTTGGCCAACCCCTTCCCTGATAGGAAGGCTGGAGGTGTTGGGCTCCTTTGGAGCCACCTGGCATCCCCTGGACCCAGTCTGGGTTTCCTATTATTGCCCCATTCACTTCCCCCTACCCCCAAATTGAGTCCAGCCTGGTTCCTGTCCCCCATACTACCCTAGCTCCACTGCAGACTGATAGTTGTGGCCTGAAGGGGAAGGTTCTCTGAGCTTTAGAAGGAAGGAAGGAAGGCAGAAGTTTCCACAATGCCCTGGGTGAGCTCAGGTGGTCAACCCCAGACCTGCCTGGCCTTGGGGAAGGGGCAGCTGACCAACCTTAAAAGAGGGTGCTAACCGGGGTGAGTTCTTCTGCCGAGACTAGGAAGAAAGAGAAGAGTGAGGGGTGGGGTGGAGGGTTGCCCGGAGTGCTGGAGAGTAGTGGGACTGGGTTTCTGCCCGAGGATCCTGTCCTAGACAGGGCTGCTGGCTACCACAGAGGGGCTCCGGCCCCTGATCTTCCCAATGGGAACTGGGAATTGTTTGGGATGTAAACTTAAGTAATGATGGGAGGGGTCATAGAGAGAGAGCTAGGATTCAGCCTTTTTGTATTTTAATTCTTTAAAGTTCTGACTCAGAGGCAATACTGGGGCTCTGACCCCAGGCGTGTGGGCCAAGAGAAGGGACCCTCCCAGTTGATGACTTTGGAGACCATGCGGGGCCTGCCTTTGTGGAGCTCCTTTCTGGGGGTGGGGGCTGGAAGAAGTAAAGAGAGAAATACCAGTATCTTGTGATGAGAGAGACAGAGGATGAGGGGCTCCTTGGCTCCTCAGGTAACCCCGTACCATTCTAGACGGAAGGGAGGCCAGAGAGGGAACAGGACTTGGCCAGGGGGACACAGGGAATATTGGCAGAGCTGGGACGAGGACCCAGGTGTCCCTGAGACGGAGGGCACCGGAGGGCCCTCCCCTACTCACACACACCCTTCCTTCGGAGAGTTCCACTGCCGTGCTCCCTAGACAAGCGGCTCCCCGGCCGAAAGGGGCTGCAGCTGGCAGAAGCGTCAGGGAACGCGGCTGTGGCGGCTTTTATTTTGCTTTAGAGAGGATGGAATAATTGACTGTTGTGGCTGTGGTGTTGGTGCACATGACGGGATGTTGGGGAAACGTGTGCACGTGTGTGCTCGTGTCTGTGTGTGTCCATCCCCACTCAGCTGGGCAGGGCCAGGCCAGTGCCCGGTAGAAGAATGGGCTATCAGAGGTGCAGCCCCATCCCCCCACTGCCCCATCAGCCCTGGTTCTGGCCCAGGCCTGTGGCCCATGGGTGCACGTGAGGACGCTTGGTGGAGGCCAGGAATGTTAATGGTGCCAGGCTCCGCGTGAGCTAAATTTAGAAACCCAAACCGAGAAGGTGAATGGTGCTCACCTTCCCGGCAGCAGGCCCAGTCGCCGCTGCAGCCTCGTCCCCTTCTCTAGCCAAGGACCTGGTGTGCCCCCACCCCGGCCTGCCTTGCCCCTGCCCCTCCTCATGCTGGGATGAGGAAGCCTAGGGGGCTGCCGAGGGGCCCAAGGCACCCTGTCCTCAGAGTCAGTGGGCAGCCTTTCTTGCTGATGCTGCCTTCCTAAAAAGGTAATTGCCCAGGCCCAGCCCTACCTCACAGCCCCAGGGCACGGAGACCCAGAGATCCCCAGTGATGGACATAGCCCTGGGCTGGGACTGGGCATGGGGCCCTCTCCCCACCCCCGCTGCTCACGTCACCGGCTGCTGCCAACCTTGCCCTGCAGGATGCCACCCCCACCATCTGGGGGTGGTGATGTGGACAGCGTGACGTGGCCAGGCGCCTGAGAGCCGTCTGTCCATGGCAGAGGGAGCTGTATTTCTGGGAGCTGGGCCAGTGCCCCAGAGACAGGCGGGCAGGAGGGGCCCATCCTGGGGGACAGGGATGAGGTGCAGGTCAAGGGCGCAGGGTAGGTCCTTGAGCCTAATGGGGCCCAGGAGCTGCCAGATAGGGAGCAGGTATTGATGGGGCTGGTACCCCACGGTGGTGGTATCCTTACACATGGGCCCTGGGACCTTGTCGCCTCGTAGGCTCTAATCTCCTCCCCTTCCCTCCAAGGCCCCCTTCCTGGGAGGCAGGGAGGCACAACCTGGCCCTAGGAGTGACCCTGGTGTTGTCTCCACAGGGCAAACGCTACAAGAATTCCTTGGAGACGGTGGGCACACCAGACTCGGGGCGTGGGCGCAGTGAGAAGAAGGCAATCAAGTAGGTGCCAGGCTGCGAGTGTGGGTGGGGGCATGCAGGCAGCCCAGGTGGGAGGGGCTCCCCCATAGACCCAGCCAGACTCACACTCAGTGTCCACTCACACCAGGTGCCATGCTGCCTACCCTCCCCACATACACAACTCCTCAGGGCGGCCTCGGGGCTCCACCTTTCTGCCTGTGCCCCAGGCCCTCCGAAGGTTCTGGAGCCCCCAGCTCCTCTTTCTGGCTGCTGTCTCTCACCCCCAGCAGGGTCTGCCTCCTGCCTCAGCCCTGGTTGCTGGTCCCACCGCACCTGGCCCTGACATCACACACACTGTCCCCAGCCACCAACTCAGCTCCCCTGGGATACAAACTCCTCCCCCAGGCCCCTGCCCCTGGGCTATGCCTCCTCCCTGTGGGTCCAGGCTTTCTGCTCAGACTCCACCGACACTCTGAGGGCAATGTGGAAGGGAGGGCAGACAGAAACCCGGGACCCGGAAGGCCTGGCCCTGGGCCACTCTGGGGAAGGGCCAATGGAGAGATTTTCCTTCCTCCCTGTCACCCCAGCCCCCACCTCATGTCTTGCTGCCCCTGACTTGCCCAGGCTTCCCCACTTTGTCCTGAGAGCCTCCCTCAAGAGGCAGGCCTGCCTTCCCACTGTAGACCACCTTGGCCGGCCCACTGCTGAGGGTAACTAGGGGACACCAGGAGACAAGCTCTCCCTGGCTGGGGCACAAGGGACCCCAATGTCCTGTGTCGACTTCTCTCCCAAGGCCTCTATGCCCGCTGAGCAGCAGCCCCAGCCCCTTCCTCTCTACTGAGCTCAGGCCTTCACTGGGAGACTGGCTAACCCAGGTTGTGATGGGAGACCCTCCATCTTAGACTGGGGTCAAGCCTGCCAGCCAAGGGGCTGCCGCCCAGAAGCGGAGCCCTTAGCCCTCTCTCTCCACACTCCCCTCCTTCAACTCAAGGCCCCCATTCTCCCTCCGCACCCCCTTTCCTTCTGCTCCCATCCCACCGCCTGGTCTCCCCTCCCTTCCCCTTGTCCATCTTTCTCCCTTCTTTCCTCTTCCTCTCTTCCTGCCTTCCCTTCCTCCCTCCTCACTCAGCTCCTGAGGAGCCCTCCCCCTCCCAGCCCCCTCTCTTTTCATCTCTTGCTCTTTTTTCATCTCTTGCTCTGACCCTGTTTTGGATGGGCCTTCACAGAAGCTGCGGGTGTGTGTCCATGGTGGGGGCGGGTAAGTGGAGGGGTGGGTGGGCTGAGGTTGAAGTTGGGGGGTGAGGGGGAGGCTGGGAGGCAGCTGCACTCTGTGAGAGGCCGCGAGGAGCCTTTGAAGCTGGGCTTGGTTGCACACTCTCCAGTCTTCAAAGCCTGAGAACTGGCAGGTCTCTGGGGCTGGTGCAAAGCACGGGCCTCAGGCTTTCTGAAGGCGGGAGGACCACGTGGGGGCACATGTGGCTGGACCCTTAACGGAGTTTCCAGCCCCGGGGCAGGGCAGGGGGCTTGTGTCTGCAGGATCACCATAGCCTTTCTGCGTAGGGGTGCGTGTGGCAGGGCCAGGAGCCCTAGAGACAGGATTCCCAACAAGGAGGACAGGCAGGAGGGCATTGGGCATCAGGTTCTGCCAAGCTGGGACCGGTGCCCATGAGGGCTCCCTGAAACAAAGTGAGGGCCATCCCTGCAGCCCTACAGCCCTGTCACCCACAATCCTAGCCTGCTCCCAACCCTGCCCTTCCCACACTCCTAGCCTGCTCCCCACCCTGCCCTTCCCACAATCCTAGCCCGCTCCCTACCCTGCCTTCCTGTTATAAGACCCTCTTCCTCTGGAGAAGGAAGCCACCATTCATGTCTACCTTTCCCTGGGTTCCCAGGCCTTTGCCTCATGCCAGGGAAAAGCAGAAAGGGCCCAGACCACTGGAGGGGCAGGGAGCAGGGCCAACCTACTGCCCAGTTACCGCATTGGCTTGGGGCCTCCTCCAAAGGGTCATCTCATCAAATATTCTGGGAACCTATAAGATCTAGCATTGCTTCCCAAACTATGTTCCTCAGAGTACTTGTGCCCGTGATTAATTAATAGGTGTCCTGTGAATCAAGGGTTCCATGGCCAAATAAGTTTGGGAAACACTGCACACTATCTCTCCCTCTTGGAGATACAGGATCATCATTGGCACATTAAAGCCTCTGAGAAGTCTTGCAGTAAAGGAAGTGGTGTTTCCTGGACTTAAAGGTCCTCTTTTTACCAGCGCTGGCAGGGGACAACCTGAGGGACACTGAACCCCTCAGAACACAGGGTGGGAAACCAGCCTGGCAGTGATGACAAGATGGATGTCGTTCTCCAGGATCTAGGGTCGGATGGCCCTCGATTATGGAGATCTGGGAGGGAAGCATTCCAACTGCTCCATCTCTCTGTTACACCTGACTCGGAGGACCCATCCACAGCCCTTGTGTGATGCCCTGCTTTGGGGGCAGAGGGCATCTCTGGGGTAAATGGGGTCTTCTGTTGAGGGAGCAAGTTCCCCTGGGGCCTCCCCAGGGAAGGGCTTTGGCTCCTGAGGGCTTTTCCTGCCTCTCCCACCCCTGGTCCCTACTGGCCCTCTGAGATGGCTTGTGCCCGGAGTCCTCTGTGAGACATTTCCAAGGTACACTCCAGAGAGAAACTTGGGCCTGGACCAGTCTCCTCTGGGCCTATGGTGGCAGCTCAGCTTCTTTCCTTGGCTTCTGAGTCTAAGGTTGAGAACCAAGAGAAAGGTCAATCTCTCGGGGTAGAGAGGCTGGCCCCCCACAAGACCATGTGTGCTTGATTCTCAGAGGATGTGCCTCCCTACAGTGCCCTCACCTTGACCTTGAGTAGCCTCAGGACACACCCAGCCCCCCCCCCCCAACACTCCTCCTCAGAGCCCTTCCCCTGGAAGCATTCCTTATGGCCCAGGCATGACTCCCTTCTGGATGCCCCTTGGCCTGGGGACTGCCCCTCTGTATCCTATCCCTGTACTCCCAGCCCTGCTTCTCAGGGCTCCAGGGGCCTGGAAAGCTAGGGGAGCCCCTTGTCCTGCCCTTCTCTGGGCAAGGGGACTCCCTGAGTTTCCAGGCCATGCTTTCTGCCAGCAGAGGCTTCTGCCCAGCCCCCCCACCCCATGCGAAAGTCCCCATATCCGAGCATGCCTGCTTCTTCAGCACAAGTCATGGAGCAGGAGGGAGTGGGGAGCCTGGGGAATGGGGGGGATGGGGGTGTCCTTAGTGTCCCCAGACTGGGTACATGCAGAGAGGAGACAGGGGAACTGGGCAGGCCAGGAGTTGGCAGCTCCATCTTGACGCCAAGGGCCTGAGCTGAGTCTACCCATCATCCCCACCCAGAAAAGGGCAGGTGCCCCCCACAGGCCCCAGGACAAAGGACTGAGGGACCACTGGTCAGCCTGAGGCCCTTCTAGGCACAGGCCCTCAGCAAAGGGGCCAGTGAAGGAGGCCTGGAGGTGCATCCCCTTTTCTGGGGGGATGTGAGGACCCAGCCAGCACATTTGGAATGAGTGGAGAGGGGCTTCATCTCAGCTGAGGTCCCCCCAGTCTCACTTGAAGCCTGCACACCCCGGGGGGTGGGGGGCAGAGGAGGTCAGCAGGGACTGAAGGCCAATGGGAGGAGGAGAGGGATGGGCAGGAGAGAAGATGGGAGAGGGGACAATCTTGGGCCTTCCAGAACTAGGGCTTCTACCCTCTGGTGGTGGGAAAGCTGACGGCTTAGCAGTTACAGCCAATCTTCTCATTTGACAGGCAGGGAAGCTGAGGCCTGGAGAGGTAGGGGCCCTCACAGTCACCCAGCAAGTTAGTAGCATAATCTGATCTACCTTTCAGCTCTTTCTAGCCAGAAACCAGCACCTTCTCCCCCACCCCCACGCCATCCCACTCCAGGCCTTGTCCCCAGCACCCTCTTCCTGCTGCCCTTCCTCTCTCACCGTCTCTCTCTCCTCTGCCAGCTCCGAGGTGTGAGGCTCCAATCTGCCCGCCTGCAGCTCGCCTCCTTTCTGTGCGGCTTCTCCCCTGCCCTCGAGTGTGTGTGTGCCTGCGTGTGCGTGTGTGTGCGTGTGCGGGGCGCAGGCTGCGGTGGCCCCAGCCATTCTTCCTCCCGCAGGCGCAGACCCTCGCCCTCCCGCCCTCTGAGTGCCCCGGCCCCGGGCTCCGCGTCCCCTCCGCCCTGCAGGACTGCAGTTCTTGTTTCTTCTTGTATCTCCCTGTTTTCTCCCCTCTCTCTCTGCCCCTCCAGCGATCTAGACAGAGACTTTTGGAATAACAATGAGAGCACAGTGCAGCAGAAATGGAGCTCCTACCCTCCCAAGGAGTTTATTCTAAACATTTCACCCTACGCCCCTTATGGCGACCCACGACTGTCCCTCAAGTGAGTGACTTTACCTGGTTTAATCATATGTTCCGAGTTTCCGCGCACGCCCTCCCTCTCCCCGGCCCCTCTCCGGCTCCTCACTTCTCCCGCTCCTCCTGCTCCTCTACCCCCATTCCCCACCCCTCCCCCCATGGGCAGGCTGACCATGGAGACGAGCAACCCCTCCAGCCCCCCTCGCCTGTCTTCCCCTCTCCTGTCCCCGCCCCCAGGGCCAGCCGCAGGAGCCCCTCCAAGCCACACCCACGCCGGTCCTTTGGCCTCGCCCCCTCGGCTGTCTGGCCCGGGTTGCCCGTTTTGGTCCCTCCCTCTGGGTTGTGGCTCGCTCTCTCCTCCCTGCTGTGTGCTGCTGCCTTGGCTGCTCGGTGGTTGGTGGTCGGTGGTCGGTGTTTCGTGGCGGTGGTGGCGGTGATGGTGGTGGTGGTGGTGATGAATTCTAACTAACACAGCTTTCTCTCTCTCCCTGCCTGGGGGCCTCCTGGCCTGGACAGCCCGCTCTTCCTCCGTCGTTAACCCTTCGTTGTCCTGTGGGATAGAGTTGGAGGTGGCTGCCCTCCCCCCACTCCCGCCGCCCCTGCCCCAGGCGGTGGAGAGGGGCCCCCCCTCCGTTGTCGTGGTGCGTTGTTCTCCAAACCCGAGCCCGCCCGGTCCCCTCTTTCCTCTCTGCAGGCTCCATTATGAACCCATTTGCAGTGCTGATGTCTCTCTCTCTCTCTCTGTCTGTCTCTTGTCCGTCTGTCTCTCTCTTCCTCTCTCACTGTCTCTTTCTTCCTTTTATCTGTCATTGTTTTTCCTCCTCTTCCACCCCACCCCCACCCCCACGTGTGGCCCGCCCTCTCTCCCCCACCGCCACCCCCGGTGCCCCTCTGGCTCGGCTGCCTCGACTGCCTCGCGCGTGCCTCCAGTGGCACCCTCCTGTCAGGCGCCAAAGTGGCCGCTGCGGCGGCGGGGCTGGCGGTGGAGCGGGAAGGCCGGCTGGGGGAGAAGCCGGCGCCGGTGCCGCCACCCGGAGAGGACGCCTTGAGAAGCGGCGGTTCTGCCCCCAGCGCGCCGGGCAGCGGTGGCAAGGCGGGGAGAGGCCGCTGGCGGACAGTGCAGAGCCACCTGGCCGCAGGGAAGCTCAACTTGTCCAAGTGAGTGATGGCGCCCCATGGCCGCCGGAGCGATGAGCTCAGGCCTGCCCCCGCCAGGGTGGACAGCGGGACCCCTGGCATGCCCGCTGCTGCCCCCAGAGGTGCCATCTGTGGCCCCTGGCTCATTCCATCCCTTCACGAGACTTCCATTGTCCTTGCCATTGGGCATGACCAGCTCAGCCATCCAGTCTGTCGCATTCCAGCCTCTGGCTGCTCCCCCAGCAGTCTCTTTGCCAGTGACCAGGTCATTCCATAGTCTGCCCAGCGGGCAGCTTCATTTCAATCCTTGGATCATCCCATTCTCTTTGATCGACCATCACAGCTGTCAGGTCATCCTTCCATGGGCATCTGGCCTGTGGTTGTCCAGCCATTAGACCATTCCATCCTTGGGGAGCTGGCCCATTCTCAGCCTGTGTTCTATGCCACTCACTAGCCACCGGGCCTTCCATCTTAAGGCCAGCAGATGGCTCTAGACCCAGCGGTTGACCATCCAGTGACTCCATTGGCTTGTCCCAATCTTGCTTATGCCATAACACCACAGCCACTGGGCTGTCCCCATTGGTTCATCCTCATCTCAGCCATTCCCACTGGCTGTCCCCATCTTGGCCAGCAACCTGCCCCACTTTCAGCTGTCGGGATTGTGTGTTGTTGGAGGTTGGGTTGTTTAGTCCCAGTTAGCTTCTCTTTTCAAATGGTAGAGGGTGGCTTGGACATCAGATGGAAGAGCTGTCCCCTTTTTAATAGTTGTCTGAGATTGTCAAACGGACAGTCAGTCCCACTCATGGGCAATGGGCGTAGGGTTGGCCCTGTTCTCAGCAGATGGTATGCTCCCCCCCACCCACTGCCAATCAATGGGGCAACCTTATTCTCATCTTGGCTTTTAGAACCTCCAGTTGCCCACACTGAGCCCTACCAGGCCCTAAGTCCTTTGAGCCATGACCAATCTCACCCGATGGAATGGAAGTTCCATTTTCAGCTATTGGAACTGCCTCATTCCCAGCTAGTGGAGCAGCCTCTCACTCAGAAGGCCACCTCCCCTGACCCCTTCTTAGCTGTTGCCTCAATGTAGGGCCCTCCCCGTCCTCTTCAGAAGGCCTGTGATTCCTACCACTGGGACCACTAAGGGCCACAGTCATTTTCTTGTTGGTCTGAGGGAGCCTAAGTCAATTTCCCCTGACATCTGGCCTCAGAAGGGTCCCACAGGGAAACCCCACACCTCCTCAGAGAGCCAGATCCAGTGCCCCGCTCTCTCCTGGCTGCTCCGGCCTCAGTCTCCAGGCTGGCTGAGGTCTCCATGCCATTTGCTGGCTCCAGGCCTGGAGGAACCAGTTTTAGTTTCCTGTGACTGAGACGTTGTAAATTGGACTAATTTTGAATGTGATAGGAAACCAAAATGAGGTCAGCAAGGAGGAGGTAGAGGTGGAGGCAGGAGTGCCATCCTCCCTTCACCTTGGCCTGCCCCTGGGGAGCTTTGGGCCTACCTGGCCGGCCAGGCCGAGGCTTGCCCCCAGTGGTAGCCTTGATTCCAGTCCCAAGCTGGACAAGGCTGCTATCCCTCCAAGACCCCAGCTACAGCCATGTCGTGCTTTCTTCTCTCTTTCTTTTTCTCTCACTTTGCTGTTCTCTGACTTTCTCTCCCTCTTTCACTCTCACTCCTCTTTTATCTCTTTCTCTCTTTCAGCCCGCAGGGGCAGCCTAACTGTTGTCTTTTGGTTCCCTGGGTAGACTCAAGGGCAGCAAAGCCAAGGGCTGGCTGCAGTGGTGAAAGCGGCTCCCAGGGCCCTGGGGCCTCCTCCCTCAGCCAGGTTAGGGGTACTTGACTGCCCTGTGGCCTGAGACCAGGGGTCCGCAAACTTTTTCTGTAAAGGGCCAGATAGTACATATTTAGGCTTTGCAAGCCATATGGTCTCTTTCACAACTATTCAGCCCTGCCAATGTAGCACAAAAGCAGCCATAGACAGAATATAAGCTAATGACGGTGGCTATATTCCAATAAAACTTTATTTACAAAAGCAGGCAGCAGGCCAGATTTGGCCCACAGGCGTAGTTTGCCAACCCCTGCCCTAGACCATTGGATGGGGAGATGAAGGGAAGGGACAGAAGGAGAAGAAGGCTGGAACCTCCAAGGCTCAGAGAGGAGAAGTGGCTACCCCAAAGTCGTTCAGACTGCTCTCTGGCTCAGCTCTGTGGCGCTTTGGTGACATCCCAGCTTGGGCCCTGCCTATGGGACACATAGAAATCTCTGGCCAGGGAACAAAGTAAGCGGGTTACCCAGGAGGAGGACAGGGATCCCAGACTCCTTCTGCCTCTGTCTCCTGAGACATTTGCAACCCCTGCTGGCATGGGGAGCGTTTACTGATGCAGCACTTTCCTGGGCTGATCTCAGTAGGTACCCGTGACAACCCTGTGATGGAGGCGACTCAGGAGTTAGTTTCTCCCCATTTTACAGATAAGAAAACGGAGGCCCAGAGAGGTGGAGTAACTTCCAAAGCTCCACAGTTACTAACTGGCAGAGATGGGGTTGAGGCTGGGTCTCTCTGACCCCTACTGCGTCTGGCCAGCTGTGTCCTATTTTCTGTCTGTCCTTGCCACCTCCAGCATTTTTCAGAGATGCTGGTGGGCCCATGAGACAGCTGCCTCTTGCAAATGTATAAAGGACAGGACAGTCCCCCTACTCTTCATCAGAACTGTGGTATAGGGGCCAGATGACGGTTCTGGGGCTCCCACCTCGTCTGCTTTCTTTGCTTGCTCCATCTCAGTAAGACAGAAATTGTCTCTCCTCTCATGGGGAGCCATTCCCAACGTACTAGGAGAGGATGCTGGGGCCTCAGAGACAAAGACCCCTAGAAGGAGGGCAAAGATCCGTCTCCCAGCCTGAGTCCTGAGGCAAGCCTGGCCACAGGGCTGAGGTCTGCGAGTGCAAGGCTGCCTCCGCATCTCCATGGACAGAGTCTAAAAACTGGCTTCCCCAGCGCCACCACGCATTACTAGGCCAGCTCTGCTCTGGCCTGGATTTCTTCCTGTCTCTAGAGAGCAGTAGCACTAAGAACATGGAGGCAGACGTTTCTGGTGTCCCCCAGCGAGGCAGCGGGAGGGGGTGGCAGCAGGCTCTTTCCACCCCTCCCACTCCAAGATGACAGGCAGCGGCAGGGCCCAGGGGACCCGCCTTCACCACGCAGCTCAGACCAGCCTATCGGTCGGCCCAACAGGAGGTATTCGGGACTAGCTGAGCCAGGGCCAGAGGGAGGATGGGCGGGCCGACCTGGGGCCAGGGGGTGGGGGGCTTGTGGGCTTGGTGACCTCCTTGGAGAAGCAGTGGCGGCAACGGCAGCGGCGACAACCCCGATGGAGGCCTGGCGAGGCCAAGCTGAGCGCGCCCTGCACGGGGGCCTCCTCGCCCTGGCCCTCAGCATCTTTCTCCTCCACTGTGGTCCCTTCACCAGCTTCTCCTTTCTCTCCTCTCCTCCACCCGCCCCAAGTTTCGAGGACTCCACTCTGTCCACGGCCACTACCCTTGAGTCTATCCCCAGCTCCACAGGAGAGCCGAAATGCCAGCGACCCTGCACCCTGATGCGGCAGCAGAGCCTGCAGCAGCCGCTGAGCCAGCACCAGCGGGGCCGGCAGCCCAGCCAGCCCACCACCAGCCAGAGCCTGGGCCAGCTGCAGGCCCACACGGCCTCGGCACCGGGCCCCAACTCCCGGGCCTATGGCCGGGGCCAGGGCCGGCAGGGCGCCTCAGCCGGCTCCAAGTACCGGGCGGCCGGCGGCCGCAGCCGCTCCAACCCGGGCAGCTGGGACCACATGGTGGGGCAGATTCGAAACCGAGGCTTGGACATGAAGTCCTTCCTGTAAGTCCTCCCCTGGAGCGGCCGGCCCCACTCCCCACCCAGCCTCCTTCCCACATCTCCTCCTAGGAGCCCTCCAGTCCCCTACAGGGGCACCCAGCCCACAGCCTTGAGGCTCATGCTTGAGGCCCCCGGTGGAAGGATTTGTATCTGAGGATCCCAGCTCCCCCTCTGTACCTCTGGAGCTCAGAGAAGGTCCCCCTAAAAGCAAGTGGAGACACTAGAGGATGCTGCTGAGGTCCCTGAGATCTGTCCCCTCTCCCCTTCTCACTCCAGGCTGCTCCCACCAGCCTTGCCTTCTGCTCTTGTGACCTCTCTCCTCCCCACTCCCATCCCAAACCCAGTGCCGTTCACTCCATCCCTCTCAGTCTGGGGCCTGCTCTCCCCTCTTTGACTTACTCATCCCCTGTAACCCAACTCTGCTCCCCTTCCTGCCCCACGTTTCCTCCGTCCCTCCTCTCTCTCATTTCCCCACATCCTGTGTTCCTGTGAGCCGCCTGTCCTCTGCCTCTCTGACCTTCTGCATCTGCCTGTCCTCCAACTTCTCCCCATGATAACCCCCCCCCCCACCGAGGACAAATCTGGGATGTCCCCAAAGCTTTAGGAAAGGTTGTTTCTAAATCAGAGCCTTCTTCGGTGTGCACAGGTCTGAGAAGTAACAGCGGACACCAGCATCTAAACATAACCACGCCCCCAGCCACTTGCCCCCCTGCCGTCACCGTAGGGCCCCCCATGTAGTCCCCTCCCTGTCAGAACCCCTGGGCATCTGCACTCACTCTCCAAGTCAAGGGCAGCCTGAGTGGCTGTCCTCCAGTGTCACCTGCCTCCTCCAGCCTAACATGAGCTTCCTTCCAGGCTTGGGGTTCTTCCCATCACCCAGGTCTTCCCTGGAGCACTTTTCACCGAGCAGGAGACCAGTACATAAGCCCAGAGAGAAGAGATAGAGGAAGAAGGGGAAACCTAAGGCCAGGGCCAACTCTCTGATAAGATGTGGGGATGCCCAAGACAAGAGTGTCCCTCAGAGTGTCCTGCCTCTGACTGAGACCCCAGCCTGAGCTTCCAGGGCCGAGGGGAGGGCTGCCTCTGGGAGAGAGGTCCGGACAAAAGAGGAGTTTCCCACGCCTGTGCAAGAACACGCTGTCTGTGACTCTCCCC